CGAGATGTTGATCAGTTTTATTCACTGTGGCCACTTAACAGGGTTCTTCCTAGAGGAGGCCACCTGTCTCACGTTCACTGTTGGTTACCTCCGAAATGGGTACCCATCATAATTACTTGCTCCCTCAAATGACAGCAGTGGGGCCCTTTCAGGGAGTCAGGCAAGCTTCATGCTCAAGTAAGAGTTGACTTGCAAGTTACCCTTGTGTTCCTTCAACCCTGTTAGGACTCCATCCTGCTCCAGGAAATTAGGATGAGTGACTGGATCTAGTCGGGTGGATAATGAAACCCTGTCACTTAGGACAGTCCAGAAGCAGAATGGCTTGGATGGAGAAATACAAGGCTTGAGATTAACAATTGTTAGTTTCATCTGCTGTCCTCAGCATGCCATTTAGCCTATGTGCTCTGTTTTCCCCAACTGTCATGTGGGAAGAAGGCTGTTCACAGTAGTGACAGAACTAGGAGCAATGGTCTCAAGTTACAGTGGGAGAGGTCTAGATAGGCTATCAGGAAAAACTATTTCACTAGGAGGGTGGTGAAGCACTGGAATGGGTTACCTAGGGAGGCGGTGGAATCTCCATCCCTAGCGGTTTTTCAGTTTTGGCTTGACAAAGCCCCGGCTGTGTTGATTTATTTGGGATTGGTCCTGCCTTGGGCAGGGTGCTGGACCTGATGACTTCCTGATGTCGCTTCCAGCTCTATGAAACCCATCAGCTTTTCTGGGAGGACTCCAGCTCATCATCTGATCAAGTGTGTTTTGCCCACAAAAGCTCCTGATTCTATGTTACATATTTGTTCATCTAAGGTGCCACAGGACTACTCATTTTTTAGAGTAAAATTAATTAGTTGGGCATTTTTTAAACATATGAAGCGCAACATGTTTGCTAAGTATAAGGTGGTCCAAATTTGCCTTGCAAGTGAGTCAGTAAGAACACAGTTAACATTTTTTGGAATTGCCCTAACATAAATTAGGGGGGAGGGAGGAGACGACAGTGGGGCAAGGAATCTACATGTTAACATTAATTGCTTTCCTCAGGATTCAGTGCAGAGGTTTAGTAAACTTGGTTTCCAAAAGGGAAAAGAAATCTTGAAGGCATTCAGAAATTTATGAGTTATCATTTGACTCAAATGGAGAGTTGAGTATCACACTACCTCCTTGTAGTTAGCTTCAAACACCACATGGATTGTTACTGAGAACTCATTACTTCGGTCTTTTCTCCTAAAAGGATCAAAGCCTCAGGAGATTATTCCCCATTTGGAAGTTTATTAACAGTGCTATTGCTTTTAGGGTAAGAAGGATTTCTGGGTCTTGAGGAATTAAGGCCATTCCAAGTAATGTTGCCCACCAAAAGTAGGCTAAGGATCCTTTTAATTTCACATCCCAAAGCTTTTTGGCTTGGTTATAGCAGTGCCAAGTGCTTCATTAAGGTGGTTATTATCTATACTCATGTAGAGAAAGAAATAGAATGTCTACTTAGCACCTTACATTTGAGACTTTATGAACAAGTCAGGAACAAAACCTAGGTCTTCTGATCACCATAACACAATATTTCCCTAGAAGGTTCATCTGATGAAGTGTACCAATAAATTGGTCAACCTATGAGGTGCCACAGGACTATCACTTTTGCAGATAGTCCCTGATACTAGTTCAAAGGAATAGCTCTTTCTTGGTTGATACCTATATATTAGTTAAGCCTTAAACAAGTCTTAATTAGTACTTAGCACAAATAAATTAGAACTTCTTACAGAGTAGAAAGTTATTAGAGTATTATGAGTATTCTATAGAATTTTAGTGTTCTAGTTGTAAACAGGAAAGTCACATCTGAATTATCTTTTTATCAGGAATCCTCAAATAAGAAATCCCAAGTTAGAAAGTATTGTTAGGGAGAGTTGTTAGACATTTTGTTTATAGTGATCCAAAAAACAAGGCAATAATATCAATTATTCAGACTCAGATTTGTGTTTCCTAAAGCTTTTTTACTTCTCACACATTTGCCAGGCTGAACTGTCCCTAGATTATCAGCTCCCTTAAGCTGCTCAGTGTAGTTTGTCAGCTTTAAGTAACTACATAGCTTTGGGATAAGCAGTCTCATTAGAGCCAGGTGCTCTTCACTATAAGAAGCCTACATTTTTAAAGTTACACATCTGTAAGTAAACATTAACTTTGTCATAATAAAAGAAATCAACACATCCCTATAAATTGAAACCTTCAGTGAAGATACAAAGAAAATACCAACAATAGAAAAAAACTAAACTCAAAAACAAAAGATAATGTTAAAACATACCTCCAGAAACCAGCACTGCTATTTATTAGCCACCTATAGAACACCACAATCCTCACCTCAAGACTGCTAGTTACTAACTCTGCCAGGTTTAAATAACTAGTAATCAGAAGAGCATGCTGGGAAAGGATCTTATAAAAGAGCGAGCCTGGGCTACAGGACAATAGTGGTTCCCAGATAATTACAGGGGAAAAGCTGTGCTTGTAGGGCTCTGAGGGAGTCTTTAAGGGTCAAATCTTGAGAGGTTAATTGTAATTTTTTATTTTGTTTTTGCTAATAAAAGCCCAGCTATATTAATAGTTTTCTGTATTTAGAGGATGCCCCCTTTTGTAGACTGAGAAATCCTTGGGGGGGGGGGTCCTTTTTTAAAAGCTTGTAGATGCCTCTTATTATTGTTTGACTGAGCAGGTAACTTAACTTTTCTTTTTCCTCCCCCAAAGGTAAAGGAAGAGGACAGCTTCTTCTTTGCTGTAGGTTTGGTGGTTGTGCTGCACTCTGCTTGTGTTTCTTCCTTGAAGCCCAGAAATCAGATGCTGGATTCAGTGCTGTGCTGTTGATTTACCCCAGCTGTGACTCTAGCTCTAGGTACTTAAAATAAATCACTATTGTAAGTACCATCTTAATAGACAAGCTTTGTGTACTTGGATAGGGAAAGGATAGCTGTTCCCATCTCTATCTCTTACAAACCCAATGACATCAATGGGGCTGCATGAGATGTAAAACAGTGCAGTTGTAGGTTATGGTTAATCTTTCCGTTCTTGGGTAGGAGGTAGGTTTTGTGGTTAAAGCACAGAGCAGGGAATTGCTTCTCTCATGGACTTGCTGTGTGACTGAGCAAGTAACTTAACTTGTCTAACAGTTTCCCCTTGTAGGCTAAAAATAGCTGCAGATCTCAATAGGAGTTGAGGATTAAATTCACAAATATTTGTCAAAAGCTTTGGATGGAAGATACTAAAGAAATGTAGTTTTCTGAAGGAAATCTGGCCATGTTTAGCTTTGCCTAGTGCTCGCTGTTCCCTAAGTTTAGTTGGTACACAGGTATACATGCTCAAATGGGAAAAATCAGGCCTGATTACTTTCCAGATTAAAAAACAAGCATTGTCTGAGCCAAATCCAGCTCTCAGAAAAGTAGAAATAAGACTCATTGACTTCAGTTAAGATATTTTTTCAAAGGGAAAGACTGGCACACATCTCAGTCTCTCCTTCTTAATGGGCTTAATAAGGAAAGTAAAATCCTGCCTGTACTTACACCCGCAGATAAGTAACTCAAATCAGTGGCACAAACTGTGTTGAGAGAATAGCTGTTACTGATGGCCTTCCCCAAATGGAAGTGTGTATGTTGTGGAGTGCTCTGCTTGAGGTTTTACACAAGGAAACAGGGCAATTGTCCAAAGGTGGCAAAGTTACCTACTTACCTAAAGCAAACAGCAGAGACTGCAAATAAACCCTGAGGAAATACTTAGTCTACAGTTCACTGCTCTGTTGCCACGCCCACCCCAGTGTTTAGATGTGAATCCAGATCTGGAGTAGGACTTTCCTAAATTTGAGTGAGTGGGCTGATCTTCTGAGAGGGAATGTTGGGGAAAGAGCTTGATTTAGACCCATCTCATCTCTTGGAAACAAAGATTACTTCTCTGCCCTCATTGCATTCTCAATGTGGTGTAAAAACATGCTGCTGCTGTGTAAATCTATGCTTGTGTGTTTAAAGAAAAAACACCTTCCACAAAGGATTTCATATATGGCTCTTATCACTGCTTTATATGTATACAAGCAGATAGGAATAAGGTTGTATTACTTCAGTATATGAATACAGACAGTGCCATAAGGACTTTGTTTTATTATTGAAAATACTTATTCCATTGTTGAAAGAGAGCAGTGTGAGGTTCAGGAGTTCCCAGTTCTCTTCCCAACTCTGCCTCTCATTTGCTAGTTGAGTTTTTGCAAAACACTTCACTTTTGTGCCTCAGTTCTCCTCACTGCTCACTTAGTATAATGATACTTTGTCAAGTTCTTGGAGATCTTCATATTCACAGGGGTCTACAAAAGCTGAGCATGTACTGTAGGAAGCTGTGTGCTACTGTCAATTTGGAAAAGCACCCATGGGTCATACTCAAAATGAAAATAAAATAAAATAAAGGAAGATGGATTACTCATTTCTATGATAGCATGTAAGAACCTGAGTCAAAGGTCGTGGGTCTCACTGGACTGGATGCTGGGTATCTCTTCAGATAATCTGATCCATGCATTTGTCAGTCAATTTCAACATCTGTCATTTCTGATCACGTAAACCACAGAAATGGGAGGAATGGGGTTTGACTGCATGGAGGTCAATGATAACCTTCGGTCTGAACAGCAGGATGCTGGCAAGTTGCATACTGGGCCATTGAACCGATAAAGGCATCAAACATGAAAATGTGGCTTTAGCCCGTAGTAGAGTTGGGATTCCCATTCAAGACTGCAATAGTAAGAGCAAGCTCATTTCATGGCTTTTCCTCCAGCATGTAGCATGGCTGTGATAGCATGCTTCTCCTAACCTCAGCAGCCCTAAGAAATCTAAACATACCAGTAATCCCTCAGGGATTGTAGGTTGTGAAGGGAGCTGTGTGTTTGCATGGAGAATGGGGTCAGTTATTACTTCAATATCTATTTTACAACTCTTCCACAAAGGAATTTAAAATCACCTTTTTTTTCTGAGGAGAAAGAATGTTACAGGGCTTACCTTTTGTCTCCCGTTGTGCAGGGTTTTATGTCCTACTCAGGTTGCTGTACAGTTCCAAGTGGCTGCATAAGGCTTGTTCTTTTTCCCCAGACTGTGTCTGTGGCAAGTCTGTACCTGAAATCATCCACAATGCTGCTTTAATAAACCCAGGGCAGAGCACCTAGGTAACCTTTGAACCTGCATTGCGACAGGTTCAAAGGCAGGAATTGCCCCTGATTAAATATGGGCAGTAATTTCAGCCAGTAAGCAATGTCAATTTGAACAAAAGGTTAATCACGACGCTTATGCAACAGCTTTATGGAGGAACAGCACACCTTGCAATGCTAACACCAGCCCAGAGAAAGCTGCGTGCTTTGGGCTTTCCACAGGCTTTCATTTGTTTTGAGGACTTGGAATATGTCATAAAGGTGGCTTGGTTTGGAATAGGAGCCTCCAAGTGCTTGTGATGGACAACCTGATTATAATACCCAATAGGTGCATCTAGACTGGCAAGATTTTGCACAAAAGCAATTGCTTTTGTGCAAAAACTTGCCAGCTATTTACACTGGCCACTTGAATTTGCTTCTTGGGCAACTACTTTCACGCTCCTGCTTGTGCAAGAAAAAGCCCTCTTGTGCAAGAATACTTGCAAGTGTAGACAGGGAAGAACTGTTTTGAGCAAAAAAGCCCCGATGGTTAAAATGGCGATTGGGGCTTTCTTGAGCAAAATCATGTCTAGACTGGCCACGGATGCTTTTGCGCAAAAGCATCTGTGCCAATCTAGATGCGCTTTTGCAGAAATACTTTTAACGGAAAAACTTTCCTGTTAAAAGTATTTCTGCAAAATCATGCCAGTCTAGATGCAGCCCATCTCTTTACAGCCTCATTAGAGAAGGGGCTTTATAAGACATTATGGGGAGGGACAAATTCTGAGCAGAGGTGCAGATTCCATGTGCAGCTTTGCTAATCTTCTTTAGCAGGGTGTTCTATCCTAGGGACTCCCCAGGCAGCAGTGCGAAAGAAATGGAGGCCTATGGGCATGATAGGGTCCAAGGGCTTGCTGCTTGGTGAAGCTTCTTATCTTTCCCCACCTGCACAGGGGGCTATGCAAGTGGGTCACTTTGATCACTGGATTGTAGCAAGGAAGCACGGTTCAGTGGTTAGGGTGCAAGCCGGGTTCATAGTTTCCCTGTAATATGGGGTAATGCCACTGCCTTACCTCCCAGGTGTGCTGTGAGGATACATCCATTAACAGTGGTTAGGTCCTTGGACATTATGGTGATGGGTGATGGTCCTTGTGTACTTTATGGATAGATGGTCTGTGCAGTTGCTTCTCAGCCGGGCGAATGGGCCTACTACCATCTCTGTGCATTTGTCAGAACCTAGTTTGCTTACTTGAGTCATGACCTGAATTCAGGATTTACCTGTAATGGTCTGAAACACGACAGGCCAAATCCCAGCTGGAGCAGGGGCCCCACGCAGCCAGTGATTTTGGAGCTGGCTCCTGAAACAACAATGCACTATGTAACATGGGAAGCCATTACTGGAGCAGAATTTTTTGATGGGTTACAATCAATGTTCCCTGTAATCTTTTCCATCCATGTGTGAACATTTTTTTTGATGTGCACTGAAACATGTGTGAATGTGCACCACCAGTAGAAACACAAAACCCAGGTGTGGGCATTCTGCTAATCAGCTGGGTGGCATTTAAATTTCTCTTGAGTGGCTGCACAAGTGCTCAGCTCACAGGGAATACCTGTTACAGTGGTACAGTTTTCACATTTCATGGCAGGCTTGGCTTGTTGGACTAGGGGTCTGATTCTTGCTGTGGGTGTGAGAGGTCTTGAGTTCAAATCCTGGGTGAGACTAGTATTGCTAGTTTTCTAGGAAGGAGTACTGTAGAAAGTTATCTAGTGTGTCATAGTAGATCACAAACTAAATATGAGTCAACAGTGTAACACTATTGCAAAAAAAAAAGCGCAAACATGATTCTGGGATACATTAACAGGAGCGTTGTGAGACAGAAGGGCTGCGTCTACACTGGCACCCTTTTCTGGAAATGCTTAAAACGGAACAGTTTTTCCGTTATAAGTATTTCCGGAAAAGCACGTCTACATTGGCAGGATGCTTTTCCGGAAAAGCACTTTTTCCGGAAAAGCGTCCGTGCCAATGTAGACGCGCTTTTCCGCAAAAAAGCCCCGATCGTCATTTTCGTGATCGGGGCTTTTTTGTGGAAAAGACTACTGTGCTGTCTACACTGGCCCTTTTCCAGAACAGTTTTTCCGGAAAAGGACTTTTGCCTGAACGGGAGCAGCATAGTTTTTCCGGAAAAACAATGACGATTTTACATTAGATCATCATTGCTTTTCTGGAAAAGCAAGCGGCCAGCGTAGACAGCTCGCAGCTTATTCCGGAAAAGCGGCTGCTTTTCCAGAATAAGTGGCCCAGTGTAGACACAGCCAAGAAGTAATTCTTTCACTCTACTCTGTACTGATTAGGCCTCAACTTGAGTATTGTGTCTAATTCTGGGCACATTTCAGGAAATATGTGGAGAAATTGGAGAGGGTCCAGAGAAGAGCAACAAAAATGATTAAAAGTCTAGAAAATATGACCTATTAGGGAAGACTGAAAGAACTGGATTTGTTTGGTTTTGAAAACAGACGCCTGAAAGGGGACATGATAGCAGCCTTCCACTACCTAAAAAAACAAGGAGGAGGGAGAAAAATTATTCCTTCTAACCTCTGATGATAGGACAAGAAGCAGTAGACTTCTTGCGAGCATCAAAGGAGGATTAGGCAGGACATTAGGAAAAACTTAACTGTCAGAGTGGTTAAGCACTGGAATAAACTAACTGCCTAGGGAGATTGTGAAATCTCCATCATTGGAGATATTTAAGAACAGGTTAGACAAATGTATATCAGGAATGGTGCTTGTTCTTGTCATGAAGGCAGGGGACTAGACTTGATGACCTCTCCAGTTCTAGTATTCTGTGATTCTATGTTAATTATGTCCTGGCTGCAGTCTTGGTCATCTGAATCTGAATTGGTGAACCCTTATGGATCCTTTTCATCAGGGCTTGGTGTATTCTTAATCCAAAATCCCACAATAGACCTTGGAGAGGTTTCTCCTAAAAGCTGAGTGACTCCAGCTCTGGGGAATTGTAATAGGAAAAAGATGCATAGAAGTTTTTGAGCAGGAAGGAAACAAATATAGATCCAATTTGTACCTCATGCAAGCAGGTACAATTCTCACGTTCAGCAGATCCCTTATGGAGCAGTCTGTGTTGGCTGTCCAGCTGCTCCCAGGGTGGGCGGAGAGGAGGCAGGACTGGAACCCACCTTTGGCAGTCTACAGCCGAATTCAGTAGGGGCATAACTGCATAACATATCACTATTTTGCCTCTGATACCCCCCTGCAACTAACAGATATATAGTATTTCATGTTTGTGCATAGCAATTAACTGGTAGGATCTTCAGTCACTATAAATCGGCATAGCTTCATTAGAGTTACTTTACACCAGCTGGAGGTGTGAGATGTAGGGAGAAAATATATAGCAGAAAAAGTACTAACAAGAAGATACCCATGCCTCCTCCCTACACATACGCTTGATCTTATACTTACTTGATAATTACTTTTCGTACAGCACCCTTTCACCTTTGGCTTTTGAAAATCCACTGAAGGCCAAATCACTGCAAGTTATATTCCCTTATTATGACCTTACACCTACTAACACCTGTTTTATGATCAATGTACACCATTGATTAGTTCACTGGCAACATGGCCCAGGAAACCTAGGCATTTCTGACTTGTGGATTTGTCATCCCTTAATCACACAGGTTCAACCTTGAGTGGAGCAAATGTGTTGGTGAATTACTATCTCAAAAGTTAGCAATTATCAACTGGTTTCCCTTTTGAAAGGAGGATTAAACAGACATTGTTGCAAACACTAAAAAGCTTCTATGTCTAAATCCTGCAATGCTGAGCTGTTTTAGTGTATTGTATGTAAGCTACATTGCTCCTGAATGAGTGTTTGTGCCCTCCGGACAACAGCTGAACTCAAAAGCACTCAACAGGTGACCTATGACACACTAATTTAGCATTTTCAAAAGTGCCTAAGGATTCTAAGTCCATTTTAAACCCAGATCCTCAAGGGAATGTAGGCATTGCTCCAATCAGAGCTACAATGCCTAGCCCTGATGTGGCCTGCTGCTTAGGGGAATCCTGAGCCCTGAGCTGATCACCCAGGCTCCCCATACAATGCACTGGAACAGATAAATATTGAGGTAGGGACCTCAGAAGCCATCCAGCTGAAGGGGAAACCAGATTGGCCTGGTATTGCACAGGGCTTCCAAAGGACCCCGAATGACTTGGATGGGGGCAATCCAGAGGTCAGGAAGGGGGAAATGTCATGGGGCCAAGGACCCACCAAAAGGCCAGAACAGGGAACTGGGTCAGCCATGCAGGACAAGGCCTCACTCTACAACACCTCACTGGGCCCAGTCCTCTAGGCGCTCAATCCACTGTGGTGAAGATCTGATTCCCTGGCAACTCCCACCCTCCAGGGAGAAGAATTGGACTGCCCCCTAAGGATCCAACCTCCCTGAGGTCTCCCAGTCCCCTGGGGCAGGACCTGACCCTAACCCCAGGGGCAGGGAAAGCCCCCAGTTGCAATAGTACACAGGACCCCGAAATTCTTCAATTCAGCTCTGTAGCCAGGAGTGAAATGGCAGGCGAAGGAGAGGGACATAGGAGCCTCCTCTGCTCTGGATCGTTCTCCTGGAGTTAGGCACCTAAGTCAGGTCAGCACTTAGCTCGCTCTGCTAAAGCCATCGCTCTGTCTCCCAATCACACCTGATACCTTGCTCACACTTGCTCTGTGTTTCCCTCAATTGTCTTCTGGGCCGGTGTTGGGCAGCCACCCCATCTATCTAAGGCCTCATCTAAACCTCATGCTGAAGAGTCTGACAGATACAAGGGTTTTGGTGCACTCAGAGCATATTTACAGGATCAGGCCCTGTTGCCAGGGTAGGCGTTCCCCTGCCCAGTCTGAGAATCTCTTAGGACCTCTGGGGCTTTAGGCTAAGCTAGGCCTCAGGGTTGGCCTTTAGCTGTGTGTAGGGGTGAGGGTTTAGACTGCTCTCTGCATGGTAAAGATGCTCCCAAGGGGACCTAGCC